CAGGACTGTCAATCAGAGTGCGTAGATGAGTCCTCTCCATGCAGCTGGCAGGCTCAGGGTAGTTAAACATATAACCAACAGCTTGTGACTCCAGTGCAAGTGTTCCAGTGGGCAAGGAAGAAACCTCACTGCCTGTTATGACCCAGCCTTGGTGGTCACAGAGTATCACCTCCATCATGTTTTATTGTTTGAAGTATTTACAAGTCTATCCAGATTTCCAGGCATGAGACATAAACCTCACGCCTTCATGGGAGACATGTAAGAGCTTATAGCCATTTTTAAAATGCTTCACTCCTAAGTGTTAAAAACTGAAGCCTAGAATCCTTATAGAAGGAAATCTTAATTCATTTCCTCTCTGTTTGGGCCTCATTATTATATCACTCACTTTTTGTGAGAAATCAGATCTCTCGCCTCCCTATCATGCCTGGAATGTTCCGGCAACATGGTGGCAGATTAGATTTAACCTATTAGAAATTAAAATACAGCCTGTCAGACTTTTATATTATGACTTAAATATAGGACGGGAATGTGCAGTTGTGAATGTTAAACTGCCATGGTGGACACTGAAATCAAAGGTTCAGGTGGCCACTTGTCCTTGACAGATGTCAGATTTATTTCCAACATCACCATGTCTATGTCCTTCTGGGATTTTGTGAAAGGAGACTTTTTCATTGTATTGAGAGTTAACCCTTGAAAATTGACCTCTGAAAAAAAGACATAGTGTGAAAATCTCTATAGTTAAATAAAATAAGACTGATCAGAAATTATATTAATCTAGGTACACAGGATCAAATGTGAATTCAACATAAAACCATGAGCTCCAAAATATAGAAATTTTTAAAAATCCAAGCATTCTAAACAATGAAATGGCAATAATTACTCTAGTAAAGAGCACGCAGAACATCTTTATCATGTGATAATGCACTGTGGGTCAGACTAGAGTCAGTCCAGATATTTAAAGAGTGTGAGAGTCCTAAAACCCTCATGGAAAGATTTTCAAGGAAAAGAAGACTTGTATACATGAGATCATTCTATTTTTCCTCTCTGTATCACGTTTAGGTTGAAACTTGTTAAGAAAGCGGGGTGGTAGAGTAGGAGAGCAGATAAGATAGCTAGCCATTTATGTGCTACAGTAGCTTGAATTTAAATGTGACACTTTTTTTTCCCACTGTGTTCTCAAACTGGTTTGGGATAATGACCTCTGTAGCTTACATTTCAGATGCAAGCCTTACACACATACACACACACACACACACACACAGAGAGAGAGAGAGAGAGAGAGAGAGAGAGAGAAAGAGAGAGAGAGAGAGAGAGAGAGAGAGAGCTGCAGAGAGGATTGTACCCTGAGCTGGGGCCACTGAGTGTGGGTATGTCTTGCCCCTTTAGAGATTTTACATTTCCATTCTTCTCAGTTCGTCAAGGGGGAGATTGCTTGTGTTGGAATGTTGGAATGTGCCTTCCTTCCCCTCCTCCGGAGGTTAGCAACCAGTTGATGGGCGAGTGCCATCTACCCATTACCTTTTCTTTGATGATCGGCTACCTGTCCTTTGCCCCCATCTCACTTGCCCCTGTCTCACTAATTGTTTTCACATTTCAGTTCCCAGTTACCCAGTCCAGGGTTCCGAATATGTGAGAGTGAGTCTGGGGGTGTGAGGTGGTCTGCTGTGGGTTTAGAACAGAGAGCCACTTGTTGAACAGGCATAAGCCTATGAACTCTCATTCCTGCAGATAATTTGTCAGAGGAATTTTGTATCTAAAATATGTTACTGAATAAGTGTACAATCTGCATATATAATTCTGTCTCTGGGGCATATCTGTTGTTATATATTTTATACATCACATATATTTTACATATTATATATATATATATCAGTATCCTGTAGCACTAAGGCAGAAATTTATGACCCATGCATTGTTTTTGTTCACTAGAGGCTTATAATATTTAAACATGTCATCTATGTATTTTCTAAAGTAAATCATGTGTTCTGAAGTTGAGGGGATAGATAGAGGAAATGATGTCACTGTGGTGACAAGGGACAGCCCTCTTCCTCTGATGCTGCTAGCAATGACCCTGCTCTGGTGAGCCTCAGTCACTCCTGACCTGTATGGGCACCAAGGTCCTTTTCTGGGTGGGCTTCTGTCTCCTGGGAGCAGGTAATTACTCAGAACAAGCAGGTTCATTGTATGTGTGTGGGTGCATATGTGTGTACTCACATGTATTATGTGTGTGTGTGTGTGTGTGTGTGTGTGTGCGTGTGAGCATGCGTGTTGACTATAAGATTTTTCTCATTCTTTTCCCATCTTCTGTCTCCACAGACCATGCCCATGCTGGAGTCTCCCAGTCCCCCAGGCACAGGGTCACAAAGACAGGAGAGAACATAGCTCTCAGGTGTGATCCAGTTCCTGGACACATTAGCCTTTACTGGTACCGACAGACCCCGGGGCAAGGCCTGGAGTTCTTGATATCTTTCCAGTATGAACGTGCAGCAGATAAGTCAGGGATGCGCAGTGAGCGCTTCTCTGCTGAGAGGCCACAGGGATCCTACTCCACTCTGGAGATTAAGCTCACAGAGCCGGGGGACTCAGCTGTGTACCTCTGTGCCAGCAGCTCAGCCACAGTGTGGCACAGGCTCCTCTGTCCTGCTCATAAACCTCATCCTTCTCTGTCCGTGAAGCTCTGAGACACCTAGTGTTCTTTCTTTGCTGTTTTTCCTACAAGGGAAACAGGAGGACCTGGACATCAGCTGTCTTTTGAATGGAAAGAGACCACAGAAGCACTCCCAGGCACTGGGCAGGATGTGGGATTCTGAGATTCCTTTCAAATATTTTATAGCATTTTCTTTGCCTCTGTTTCATCCTGTGGTCACCTCCATTAGGAGGGCAATTCCTTTGGATTTGTGTTGTTTATGGCTCTTGGGGAGGTTTCTGTGAGTCACTGGCATCCAGAAATCATTTAATGGCTCAGCTCTTCTGCTCACCCGCAGCCCACGACAGTGAGACCAACAGCAAGGCTCGACCAGCTTTCAGAGCATCACTTTATGAGTCCTAGTGAAGCCAGAATTAGACAGGCAGTCAGCATAGACAGGTGAATCGAGTCAGGTCGGATCAAGGAGGCCAAGTTTGACTGAGTCTGGGAAGTTGGAGACAGTCCCCTGAGGGATTGAAATGTTAATTCCTACAGAGCCCTTCCTCCACCCTTACCAAGAACCTGCCCCTGCTCCAACCTGTTGCTAAGATAACCTGTCCCAGGAATTGCCCCTTCCAACAGGGAGCTATAAAGTCCTTAATGAATGTGTCCTGGGCTCCTCCATCCTGCCCTTCCCCCTTCAGCCCACCTGTTTCCCACCTTTTGTCTGACCCACCTAGTGAGCATTCCAGGGCCTAGTCACATACTCAGGAAGGAGAAAGATGAAGGGAAGAGGGCAGGAGAACAAAGGAAAGCCTAGGACATATAGAAAGGGCAGAGCACCTCACTTCTTAGGATACCAGCTATGGTCCCCTTCTCCCTCCCAGGAGAAGTCTATGTTACCCCTTTTTAAAAGAAACCCTGCTTTATATGCTTGCCTGGGCTGCTTCTCTAACGTTCAAACTTCAACATGTGAGAAAGCAGAATAAGTCACTGAACACTGGCGATATCACTAGGAAGAAGGTGTCATTGAAGGCTAATTGTCCACATGCAAGTCTTTCAGTCTAGTTGAAATGAAAAGCTCCAAGATTAAACAGCATGTGATCAGCCCATGAGAGAAGTCTACGTCATTATTAGGGGATATCAAAAGAAGGAGACATTTCTTCTCCTGAAGATGGTAGCCAACATGATGGAGCCATGATTTGGTTTTGGGAATCCAAGGAAGACTTGGTCTAACCTAGGGTGGAGCCAGGGATGCAGGAGCAGATGCTTGGAGATGGAGATGGTCCTTTGGGCCAACACAGCTCTGTAATCCAGCAGAGTCTCCTGGCACACTGAGCTTGACTCTGCACCAGCCTGCCATTAGCCCTCTCTGCTCCTCTGCTTCTCCCAGAACCATCTCTCCCTCCCAGCTGCTCACCTCAGCAGGTGTGCATTGACCAAGTCCTTCTCAGTGTAGGATGCACTTGGTCCTCCTTCCCTCTGCCCACCACTGCCTTCCCCATGAGACTTCTCTGTACATGATTGTTGCCTTAAAGTTAGCCCACATTTTATTACATTATAATTAATTTTTATTCACGTATTTGACTCTTGTCTTAAAAGATGATCTCATTATTAGCCCAGTTCTTTGCTCATTTGTATTTTTGAAGTAATGATTTGGTTGTGGTGGTTTAGATTTATTGGCATTTTTGTTATCATGAGTAATATTATACTTTAATTCCTGTGTTTTCCTTACTAATAGTTTACAATAAATATATTTCCCACCATTCCTCTCATTCTCTCTGTCTTTAAATGATAGTTTGAAGGAAGAAAATCTAAGAAAGAACTGCCACGTCTGTGAGAAAAGATGAGGGTGTTTTCTGAAATGTGGCAAATGAAAGAAATATTCAGGACTAGAATCAGTGTTGGGATCAGGGTTTAAGGAAACTGATCCTAAAACTAACCTATTACTACTTCTGAAAATCTTTCCCTGCTAATTATGCAGAGAATAGAGTCTCAGGAAATAGCCACAAGATGGCACTGTGAGACCACTGGGCTCCTGTGGTGTCTAGGGAGAGTCTGAGAGAGCACACAGGAGGGAAGTGGTTAAGAACAGCCTGGACTTGGGTCCCACATCAGGCTGGTGAGAGAAGTTTTCAGTTATTATTGGGCTACCTAATCGCTGGGAGGGGTAGGAGGTCCCTCTAAGCTGAGATGCACAGTTGGAGAATGTGGGCAGGACAGCTGCAGGTGGCAGGGCAGCTACAGATGAGCACAAACTGCCCCAGAGGAAAAGGGAAACCACAGGTGGGGGAGCCCCAACTCAGTGCACTGCTGCCACACCCCCGTCCCCCAGTTCTTGCTAAGCAGCAGCATCCATGAGTAGAGTGGTTGACTTGCCTGAGCCAGTGGGGAGGCCCCTGGGCCAGAGAGAGCCCACAGGGTGTGGAGGAGTGGCATGAGGGCCCCACCTCTCAGGTGCCTGGAGAGCAGCCTCAGAGCCCCAGCTGTCATCCTGTGGTCACAGCATCAGCTGGGAGAGCTCCTTTCCATGGGGACCTGCATGAACCCTGGACTCTTCTGTGTGACACTTTGTCTCCTGGGAACAGGTGAGTTCTGCAGCTGCTGAAAAACCCTGTCATGACTTTAAGTCCAGGCTCCCAACTTCCCTTTGCTCTGCAGATACAGACACTTTTTCAGTCTTGACTTTGCCTATGGCTCCCTCTCCACAGGCCTCGTGGACGCTGGGATCACTCAGAGGCCCCGACACCTTATCTTAAACACGGGAAAAAAGACAACCCTGGAGTGTTCTCAGAACCTGAACCATTATTCAATGTTCTGGTACCGACAAGACCCAGGACAGGGGCTGAGGCTGCTGCACTACTCAGGCAGTGTTGGCAGCACAGCTGAAGGAGAAGCCTCCCAAGGAACCAGTGTCTCCAGGGATCAGAAGGAGCATTTCCCCCTGACCCTGGAGTCCCCCAGCACCAGCCAGTCCTCCCTGTACCTCTGTGCCAGCAGCGAAGCCACAGCAGGGCACAGCCAGCTGCTCTCTGCACAAGAAGCGCAGCCACAGGGTTCAGGTGGACTCTCCTTCCAGAGCCCCGGCCTCAGCCAGCAGAAAACATCGTCCTGAAGCCCCTCCAAGACTGCCAGCCTCCGCCCCATGGGCCTCGTGCAGCATGGATATGAGAGCTAGGTTCACTAGTGTGGGGAGGGGAGGTGAATACGCATACCATTTCATGTCATTTTGCTCAATTAGAAATGTACTAGCAATTGAGTTAAGGAGAGAGACCTGAGCTTCCAACATACAATTTCTATTACATTTTCTTTTCTAGGGAGAAGAACAATGAAAAAAAAAAAAAAACCTAAGCAGATTTAACTTCTAGGATGATCTGTGATTCCACAAGTTTAAATATATTATAAAATGTCACCTTGTCTTTAATTTCATTGGATTCCATGCAAGTGTTATCTGAAAATAATTCAAAAAATCTCAATAACACATTTAAAAATGCATATAGGATTCAACCACTTATAGGAAATTTTAGCAGATGTCCCAACAGGGTTATCAAAGAGAGATACCTACCTCAGTCTTTCCCAAAGACCTCTGGAGACTGAAGAGTGCTTGTCCTCTTCTGACAGTCGATGAAGATAGTAACCTAATTCTTTAATTACTTTGCCGTGAGTTAAATCATGAGCACCTCCATGCATTTCTTGTGAAATGACTGATACATAGTAATATTGGCAGCTGTTCTCTTTTCCTCCAGCCCTTCTCTCTCCTTAGCACCTACAGGGAGAAGCCCACATTCAGGAAGGTTTCTTAATTGAGATCCCTTATGGGCAAGACCATGAGGCCCACAGCTGGGCTTCACAGGACATGCAAACCACAGGTGGCATGTGCCCTTTGCTTCTCTGCGAGGCTGCCATAGCACTGGCTCCCACGGGGCCGTGCGTGTGAAGAGGGGAGCGAATGGCTATTGGTAAAACGTCAGTTCACCAATTGACCCACCTGGTAAAAGCCCAAATGAAAGGCTGAATGGTTAAGACTGATGAGTGATCAATTCTCCAAATTAAGACTTTTATAGGAGTTCATAAATGAGTTCAGCAGCCTTTGGGTATTTTTTTTTTTTAAGTTTGTGTTTGTCTTCAGTTTTTATTCTGGAATCATCCTCAGATTATTTTTTTTTCCAAACTTGTTAACTGGCCGTATTTTGATGCTGAATTTGGATGCTTTATATTTCAGCCACTGAACACTTCTCATAATATTTTGTGCAATATGTGTGTTTACATCTTTGGTGATTTTGTAGAATAAGTTTTAAATTGGACAGAATAAAATAGGAGCATACATCTATACACATCTCCCATCATTTAGCATTTAATTTATTTTCTTTGATGTAATTTTTATTAAGGTATAATCAGGAAAAAATTCTCAAAACAATATGTGGACTTCTTGATAATTTTGGTAAATGCACACCTCAGTGCAATACCAATTGAAATCACAATAAAGAATATGTCCATCACCCAAGAAAGCTTCCTGGTGATCCTTTCCAACTTATTTCTGTTCAAGAGGTAACCACATTTCTGATGTCTATTGTCATTGATGAGTTTTGTTTATTCCTGAATATCATAGAAGTAGAGTTATGTGCCACCTTTTATTAATTAATATTCCTTGAAAATTGATATTTTTTGAAATGCATTCATGCAGCTATGTTCACTTTTTCTTACTGCTGAGAAGTGTTGCCTTCTGTAATGGACCAGGATTCTCTATTTTCTTTCAAAGCAATTTCACTGACACCAGTCTTCAACTCTAGCAAATAAAGCTGCATGGAATATTCTTGTAGCAATTCTTTGTGAATTAACTTCCCTTAGGTATAGGCATAGGAGTGGGATTGCTGACTTATACTGTAGGTGCCTGTTTAACGTTTTGGGGAAACAATCTAACACTTCTCTGGAGTAGCTTCTGATACATTATGCTAAGGGATGCGAGCTCCCCGGTGCCCACCCTCACCACAGTTCATTCTCAGTCTTTTCAATCCTTCCATTCTAGTGAGTCTGTAGTGGAGTCTTTTGATGATACATTACTGAGCCTGTCTTGTCATAAAGTGACAAGTGCCCTTTCTTTTGTTCTTAATAGTGTCTTTAAATGAACTGGATTTTTTAATTTTTGTGAAGTCTGCTTTAGATCTTTTTCTTTATGCCCCGTGACTTTGCATCCTAAGACATTTCTGCCCTCCCCATGTCGTGAGTTGCCCTTTTCTGGTACTTGTTCGACTG